TTTTAAGTAATCTCCACACCCAACGTGGGGCTCGACCTTACAATCCTGAGATCAAGAGTCACATGCTTGGGGCGCCTGGGTGGCTCAGTCGTTAAGCGTCTGCCTTCGGCTCAGGTCATGATCCCCGGGTCCTGGGATCGAGTCCCACATGGGGCTCCCTGCTCGGCGGAAGGCCTGCTTCTCCCTCTCCCACTCCCCCTGCTTGTGTTCCTGCTCTTGCTATCTCTCTCTCTGTCAAATAAATAAATAAAAATCTTTAAAAAAAAAAAAAAAAGTCACATGCTCTACTGACTGATCCTACTAGTCCTGACCGATCCTGATCCCCAAATATATATACTCTTTTAATCTCCTAACAATCCTAATAAGTAGTAGTATTATCCCCATTTTACAGAGGAGGAAACTGAGCCTTAAAGGGTTTAAGCACTTTCCTAAGGTGGTGGAGCTAAAATTCAAACCCAAGCTGCCTGACATTCCAGAGCCAATCTCTTAACTACTACATAAAAATTTCCATCCTGGGGGCGCCTGGGTGGCTCAGTCGTTAAGCATCTGCCTTCGGCTCGGGTCATGATCCCGGGGTCCTGGGATCGAGCCCCGCATAGGGCTCCCTGCTCGGCGGGAAGCCTGCTTCTCCCTCTCCCACTCCCCCTTGCTTGTGTTCCCTCTCTCGCTGTGTCTCTGTCAAATAAATAAAAATCTTAAAAAAAAAAAATTTCCATCCTGTATGTTTAAGTTGTTTGACTTCTAAAATGCTAAGCAAACATTATCTTTCTTAAAATTAATATACTTACTTACCACTTCTGTCTTCTCTCCTTAGGTATTTTATCATCTCTAGTACTAACATTGAGAAGCCCGAAGGAAAACAATTTTATCAACCACTTATTTTTTATAACAATTGCAACATATTTAGCTCTTAACATCATTTCTAATTTTATATTGTAAAAGATTTTACACAGCAGCACACTTAGACATGTGACAACCATCTGTAAATCCATTTGACATTTAATAATCCCTTGCCTTGTATCACTGGGTAATTTTGTTTATGCATAACTCTACTCCTAATCCAGTTTCTCAGTTTGCAGGATATTTCAATTTCCTCATTTTTCTCTGTATCCTATAAAGTACCTAAGTATCCTAAATAAACCTGATATGCATATATACTCCAAAAAAAAAGTTAAATAATCATCACAGGGTATTTCTCAAATCTTGCTTACCAGTATTTATACGGAGATAATTTATACAGAATTTTCACAAAGATTCCATTACTTATTCTTTAAAACAAAGTTATATAGGTAAATATATTACTATTCTCATTTTACAGGGAAAGCAGAGATACAGTTTGTACCCAAGATCACACGGCAGGTAAGCAGAGGAGTTGGGACTGGAATATAAATCTTCTCATACCAGATCTCGCATGCCTCCCTCTTTGCACTATTGTCCCACAATCTCCCACAAACAGGGTTTTTAGATATAGAGCCATATAATGATGTCCAACCCTCCTACAGGTACTCTTTCCTAGAGGAAGGGAATTCTACTCCCAATTAAGAACTAAATGATGTTAGCAACATTCAGTAAGACAGAAGGAAGAACACTTTCTTTTTATAATATATGTATTTATAACCTCACTGGTTGTGACATTAATGGCTAGCTGCCCTCAATATCCTTTCTCTCTTTCATGCACAATGTTGCTCTGCTAAAAGACTGCACTTCCCTGTTTCCCCTTAAAACAATCCCAGACATCATCCTACTGCCAAAAATCCCTCGGTTTGGATCTCTGGTAACAGATTATTTTAAAAACAAATACTAGGGGCGCCTGGGTGGCTCAGTTGTTAAGCGTCTGCCTTCGGCTCAGGTCATGATCCCAGGGTCTGGGGTCCTGGGCTTGAGCCCTACATCATCGGGCTCCCCGCTCCGCGGGAAGCCTGTTCTCCCTCTCCCACTCGCCCTGCTAGTGTTCCCTCTCTCGCTGTGTCTGTCAAAAAATAAATAAAATCTTAAAAATAAATAAACACTATACCATTAACCTGATAGAACTGTTAATATAGGTAATTCCTTAACATTATCTAATACCTAGTACATATTCAAATTCCCTGATTGTCTCAAATATGTCTTTTTTTTGCCAACTGTAGGCAATTTATTTAATTTTCCCTTTTTTTAATTTAAATTCAATTAACTAACATATAATGTATTATTGGTTTCAGAGGTAGAAGTCAGTGATTCATCAGTGTTATGTAACACCCGGTGCCCATTACATCACGTGCTCTCCTTAATGTCTATCACCCAGTTACCCCATCCCCCCAACTCCCTCCCCTCCAGCAACCCTCAAACATGTCTTTTCACAATTGGTTCTTTAGAATCAGGATTCAAGGTTCACATACTACCTTTTGAGTCTCCTCTCCTTTTTTATTTCATGCCATCGATTGTTGAAGAAACATTTGTTGCTTAATTCCTTTGTCTATAGAATGTCCTTTGATTGCTTCCTCATGGTGTCATTTACCTCATTCTTTTATTTTCCCCATCCATACCTCCCACCATCCCTGACTAGTAGTTAGACCTAGAGATTTGATTAGATGCAGGTTCAGTTTTTTAGGCAAGAATCTTTAAAGGTGATGCTGTGTGCATCCTATTTCATCACATTAAGAAGTCCAAAATATTTTGTGGGGCTAAACATATATATATATTTTTAATTTGACAGAGAGAGAGACAGCGAGAGGGAACACAAGCAGGGAGAGTGGGAGAGGGAGAAGCAGGCCCCCTGCCGAGCAGGGAGCCCAATGTGGGGCTCGATCCCAGGACCCTGGGATCATGACCTGAGCTGAAGGCAGATGCTTAACCGACTGAGCCACCCAGGTGCCCCTAAACATATTTTTAAAAGGAAATTTTCTATTGAATCACCTTATGTGTAAATTATGGAAGAATTAAAAAGCAAATTTTTCCAATTTGATGCTGGATCCAAAGGTAACTGCCCCAAAGTGGTTATTAACAGCACCATAATTTTCAAAGGAGTCTTCCCAAGTGAAGTTTCATATTTGCCCTCTTCCCTGATTACTTTCAATGTATGCTTTCTCTAAAATATGCACACTGTAGATTTGTCCAAATGCTGTTTATCAAATTAAAAGTACACTATCAAATTTCTCTTCTTCTGTATTAAATTAGAAAGTTTTCACCTGTCAAATACGAAAATTAACTAAGATAGGATAATTGCACAATATCCCTTGATAGGACCACAAACAACACATTTAAAACATAAAGAACTTGGGCGCCTGGGTGGCTCAGTTGGTTAAGCGACTGCCCTTCAGCTCAGGTCAGGATCCTGGAGTCCCGGGATCGAGTCCCGCATCAGGCTCCCTGCTCAGTGGGGGGCCTGCTTCTCCCTCTAACCCTCCTCCCTCTCATGCTGTCTCTCATCCTCGCTCTCAAATAAATAAAATCTTTAAAAAAATAATAATAAATAAAAATAAAACATAAAGAACTTGATTTAGTAACAAAATTAAAATCTTAAAATATGACACACCTAGTTCTAGAGCTGAAAGGAGGACGTAGTGGTGGTGTGACATTCATCTCTAGTAGAGGAGGGGGGAGGGGACACTCAACTCTTTATTGACTGACATTAAGCACACCATGTTTGTTTGGTCTGATATTAAGTGGATTTCCAATTATGTTAAGTAATATACCAAAATAACACCAGATCAAGAATCAACTGAAAAATTCACTCCCGCCCCCGCATCAGGCTTCCCTGCTCAGCGGGGAGTCTGCTTCTTCTCTCCCTCTGCTGCTCCCCCTGCTTGTGCACGCTATCAAATAAATAAATAAAATCTTTAAGAAAAGAAAATTTCACTCCTGTGCTGGTCATAAAGAGTGTTATTTGAGCGTCTACCTTGTAGCCTAGTATTAGGAAAAGGGCACTGAACTAAGGAGACAGAGTACTTGGCTGGGTTCTAATCACGTGGGATCTTAAGAAAGGCTCTTCTCTCAGCCAGTCTTCCGAAATGCTACTAAGTGCCAGAACTGGGCAAAAGTTTTTATAATCATTGTTTCGCTTAACCCCTCCACCCAACAACTCTATGAAGATGGTACTGTCATTTATGCCCATTTTCTAGACAAGGAAAGGGAGTAAACAGAGCGGTCGAATAACTTGCCCATGTTTGCACAACTGGTAATGACCGACACTGGAACCCACACTCAATCAAACACAATACATCCCACTTCCATAACATGAGCTTCTTAATATCTTTTTCAACAAAACACTTCCCTATCCTGATCTCGTTCAATTATCCTGCCATAAACGGCTGTGCTGACACGGCCTTGTTATAAAAGGCGGAAATCTCTGGGATTTCCTCCACTCTTTCTGGCTCGCTGGTCGCTCCCTCTCCTTTTGAGTGTTCTGGTTTCCTCCTCCTGCCCAAGTCTAATATCTGGGGATTCCTGCCTGGCTCTTCCCCTTTCCCATACTGACCTCCCCTTCCTCTCTGGCTCCCACTACCAACCATTCACACGGAAATTAATAAAAATCTGCGCCTACAGCCCAAATTTCAAACTGGCTTCCCTGACTGTAAGCGGAATTTGTGTCCACGATTTATGTTCACTCTGTATGGCACATGGTAGGGGGCTCAATAAAATGTGTTAAATGAACGTCCCAGACGCACCTTAAACACAATTACGTCCAAACTCGAGGTTGCTTACTCCCAACAGTTAAGTAAAAAAAAAAAAAATCTGCCTCTGTTGTTCTGGAGCATTCCCTAGCCTAGTGACCTAGGCAATGACGCCCGCGTCGCCGCAGCTCCGGAAAAAAAATGGAGGCCACCCTGGCTCCTCGATCCTCCCACACCCGGAAGGCGCGAGCCAGCCCAGGGTTCCCCGGCCAGCAGCTGTGGGGCCGCCCCTCTCCCGGCACTCACCCCCACGCAGCTGGGGAGGAAATCTCGCGCGGCGTGTGGAGCTTGCGAGGGGCCTGCCGCGCGACCTCGGGCCGCCGAACCCAGTACGCAGGCGCACTGCTAGACCTCTGCTCCTCGCCTCCGCCCCCTCCGCTCCAGCGGCGGGCTTTTACGGTTTAGGCAAGTTTTCTGGGTTCCCACGTTTCGGAGAGAGGTGGGGAAGGTGCGGAGTTTTAAAGGCTCCTCACTTGTCTGGGCAGTGTGTTGTGGGGTTTTTTGTTGTTGCTGGCGGGGGAGGGGCAGAGGTCTGAGCCCAAATCAAGAGTGGGTGGCGTACCTGACTGAGCTACTCAGGAATTTAATTCGTTGTATGGACTTCTCTCTGAGCCTCAGATTGGGGGAAATTACAGTGAGACAGCGGCCATCAAGCCTATCCCTGGTTTTATAGGCAGGGAAACGGAGACTTGGAGAGCTGATGTGGTTGGACCACCCACTTTTCTGCTGGTTAGGGGCAATGTTGGGGTTAAAATTGCCTCTCCAGATTGCTGGGCTAGGACCCTTTCCCTTACAACAGGGCTGTCTTTTCTTTCACAAAGAATCCCAGCTTCCTCAAAGATGGATTACCCAATGTTGAAAGAGGAATTCAACTGCTTCCTTTTTGACTTTCTAATTGATTAAATTCTTTCAAGTCTATCTCCTAACTCAGGCAAAAGATCCTGCAGGCAAAGCATCCCCTCAAGCAGTAAGGACTGCCCTGAGCCAGCAAGACCCCAGTGACTGACCCCAAGACAATGACTGATGTGACCTTTACTGCCCACCTGCACATACCCATGACCTTTGCCCCACATTTTCCTTATATAAACCTGGAAGTATTTTCAGCACTTTGGAGGCAATCTTTGAGACACTAGTCCACTGTTTTCCCATTGTTAGCCTCACTGAAATAAAATGCCTTTCTCCTTTCACCTTTTGTCTCTCTGCCTTTGGATTTTATTAGCGGCAAGTGGCCAAACCTGGTCAAATCCCCAGAGCCAGGTACCCTTGCACCCCTGTGCCCCTGCTACAGTGTGAACTGATTTCTCAATTTCATTAATTATTAATTGCCTTTTGTGTTGAACTGGGTTGAGCAAGACTTATTCCTAAGACAGCTTGGATCCCCAGGGACTTTAATAAACCCTAAGAGAGACCATTCTGAATTAGGCAGGTGAAGGAATTGCTATTTATATTGTATTCATGTCAGAGCTAATAGCTCAGCATACATCATGGTATTCAGTAGCTGAATGATGACTGGGGTAGTGAGCAAGAGGGTAAGAATCATTCAACAGGTTGGAGCTTCTGGTAGCTTTATCTCTTAAAAATTTTGTTTTAAGATTTTATTTATTTATTTGACAGAGAGCACAACCCCGGGGAGCAGCCCACAGAGGGAGAGGGAGAAGCAGGCTCCCTGCTGAGCAGAGAGCCCAACACGCCACTCCATCCCAGGACCGTGGGATCAAGACCCAAGGCAAAGGCAGACGCTCAACCGACTGAGCCACTCAGGTGCCCCTCATCTCTGAAATTTTTAACTTCCTTTGAGAAAGCTTCAGGAAAGGACTGGAAAGATTATAGTACTTTGCAAACTCAGGCAGGAGTTTATCTCTTATTGGTCTTGTACAGGTAGACCTTCAATAACATTTTTTTAATAACTTGAACCAATTGATGAAAAAAGAAAATGCTGGGTGCCTGGGTGGCTCAGTCGTTAAGCGTCTGTCTTCGGCTCAGGTCATGATCCCAGGGTCCTGGGATCAAGTCCCAGGTCGGGCTCCCTGCTCTGCGGAGAATCTGCTTCTCCCTCTACCCCTCTCCCCTTCTGCTCTCTCTCTCACTCTCTCTCATGCTCTTTCTCTCTCAGATAAATAAACAAAATCTTAAAAAAAAAAACTCTAACAGACTAAAAGTAATAGCATAAAGTAAAGGTAGTCTAGAACTTGATCTTGAAAGAAACTTTTTTTTTTAAGATTTTATTTATTTATTTGAGAGATAGAGGGAGCATGTGCGGGGGAAGGGGCAGAGGGAGAGAAACAAGCCGACTCTCAGCTGAGCAGGGAGCCTGACCTGGGACTCGGTCCCAGGACTGTGGGATTATGACTTGATGACTTGAGTGAAGGCAGACACTTAACCGACTGAGCCACCCAGGCACCCCTAAGCATCCAACTCTCAATTTCAGGTCAGGTAATGATCTCAGGTTTGTGGGATCTAGCCCCACATTGAGCTCCACGATCAGCACTGAGTCTGCTTGTCCCTCTCCCTCTGCTCCTCTCCTCACTCTCTCTCTAGAATAAACAAATAAAATGTTTTTTATAAATAAATAAATAAATAAATAAATCATGATCTCATGAAAGGAGAGAAACCTTTCCAGAATATACCTAGCTAAACTTCTCCCAAATTCCTGAACCTCAGAAACTGTGTGAGATAATAATGTTATAAGCTGCTAAGTTTGGGAGTAGTTGGTTATGCAGCAATAGATAACTAATATGCCCATTAAAAGAGAATTACAGCCCCTTAGAGAAATGGCTGATTCCAGGGCTGGGGCAGGATAGGTACCAAATGAGCCTAGAACATCTTTTTTGCTAGAAATTAAGGAAGTGTTGAAAAAATGATGAAGCATATCACGGGGACACAGAAGCCAGCTTGAAGGGAATCCTACTGGCCAAATCTGGGACAATTTGAGCACCAAAGTAATTAAGTAGAATAATGATTTCTAAACATTGTAGAAATAGAAATTCGTGATTCTGTAACAATAATAAAAAAGAGAGAATGGAGGGTTCTTGCTTACAGGAGAATGCTGAGGACCAGCTAATAAATACAAAGGAGAGTACTAGAGTTGGAAAGTTATCCTTTTATAGCTTTCATAGTAAAGATTGGATCAGATAAGAATTATCAATGGATGGTAAATCTAGGAGGACTAAGATTCTGCACCCAATCCAGTGGTGGGTGGGTACTTCCCACACACTGCCAAACAATATTCCAACACCAGCTGGTTATCCTACAATTCAACTCAATTTCGGTGCTATCTATCTGGAGATAGCATCAGATCCCACAGGTTAAGGGCTCAATCCTACAAGACTGCCCCCCCCAAACACACATACACACACTTCAGATACTAATTGAAAGTCCAGGTTGTCACCTATGCTCCTGACCAAATGTCTATAGATTGGAGGTTCTAACGGCCCCTCCTTGGATTCGATTAAGTTGCTAGAATGGCTCATAGAACCCAGAGAAACACTTTACTTACTAGATTACCAGTTTATTATAAAATGACATAACTCATGGGGCACGTGCCTGGCTCAGTCAGTGGAGCATGCAACTCTTGATCTCAGGGTCGTGAGTTCAAGTCCCACAGTGGGTGTGGAGCCTACTTAAGATAAAATAAAAACAAAACAAATAAAATAAAATAAAATAAATGATATGACTCAGGAACAGCCAGATGGAAGAGGTGCATAGGGCAAAGTATGGGAAAAGGATGTGGAGCTTCCATGCCCTTTCTAAGTTCCACACTCTCCCTGTATCTCCACATGTTTACCAACCCAGAAGCTCTCCAAACCCTCATCCTTTTGGGTTTCTATGGAGGCTTCATTACAAAGGCATGATTGATTAAATCATTGGCCATTGGTGATGGAATTCAATCTCCAGCCCCTGTCCCCTCCCTGGATGTAGGGTGGAGGGAGGACTGAAAGTTCCAACCCTCTAATCACTTAATTGGTTGCCCTGGCATCTTTAGGTTACCTAGGCTTTCTAAAAGTTACCCCATTTTTTATGTTTATTTATTTTTAGTTCTTTCTACACCCAGTGTGGGACTCAAACTCATGACCCTGAGATCAAGAGTGGCACACTCCACTGACTGAGCCAGCCAGGCTCCCCTAGAAGTGACCTCATTAACATAACAGAAAACACCTAGACCATTCTCATCACTTGGGAAGTTCCAAGGGTTTTAGGAACTCTGTGCCAGAAATGGAAGAAGACCAAATATATATTTCTTATTATAAATCAGAATATAACAGGGACATTGTGTTGAGGAACAAGATATTTGCATGGTCATAAAGTAGAAAAATCGAACAATAACTTAAGCAGGTAATCAAAATTAACATCACCAATGAAGGACAGATGTATATTGAATGGCTCCAGACATGATAAAGTATACTACAGTATATTTCAAACTATGCTACAAAATACTATATTAGATGTAGAGTATAAGTATTAGATATGGAAATGATCTAAATCATCTTTTTTTAAAAAATAATCTCTATACCCAACATGGGGCCTGAACCCACAATCCCAAGATGGAGAGCTGCACGCCCCATCAACTGAGCCAGCCAGGCTGCTCAGTGGGGAGTCTGCTTCTCCCTCTGCCTCTGCTCCCACCCCACCCCCTGCTCATGCTCTCTCTCTCTAATAAATAAATAAAATCTTAAAAAAAAAAGAAAACATTTTCAACACAAAAATAATCACATTAAGATTAAAAGTCAATATGTTCGATTATATTCCATGCTCTCTGTGTGTACCTGATATCTTTGTTAAAGAAGAAAAGAATTTTGTTTGAATTCTTCTTAAACCAGATTTAACCGATGAGTCTAAGGGCTTTTATTCCAAGAAAGAACCATCTTGCTTTATGGTGTCAACACCAGTCACCATAGGTTGGAAAGAAGCTACTGGCGTAAAATTGTTCATAATATTTCCTTAGTGAGCTTCTTGGATGTATAGATTAATGTTTTTCATCAAATATAAGAAGTTTCCAGCCATTATTTCTTCAAATATTCTTTTCTTCCCCTTTCTCTCTCCCCTCTCCTTCTGGGACTACAATTGCATGTATGTTAGTATGCTAATATCTCATAGATCTCTGAAGTTCTGTTCATTTTTCTTTGATTTTTTTCCTCTCTGTATTCAGATTGGGTCATTTCTTTTTTCTTAGATTTGGGGGGCAGGCAGAGAGAGAGGGAGAGAGAGAATCTCAAGCAGACTCCACACCAAGCACAGAGCCTGACACAGGGCTTGATCTCACGACCCAGAGATCATGACCTGAGCCAAAACCAAGTCAGACACTTAACCCCGACTGAGTCACCCAGGTGCCCCCAGATTGGGTCATTTCTATTGATCTATCTTCCAGTTCATTCCTGCCACCTCAAATCTGCTGTTGAGCCCTCTAGTGAATTTTTCAGTTATTGTATTCGTCACTTCCAGAATTTCCATTTGGTTTTGTTTTAAAATTTCTATATCTTTATTGAGAATCTCTTTTTGTTGCTACATTGTTGTGTGCTTTCCTTTAATTCTTTAAACATGGTTTTCTTTAGTTCTTTGCACATATATAATTTTTAATTTTTTATTGTTATGCTCCTATCTCTTTATTAGTTATTGCCCAATTGATCTATCAGTTTTTGAATAAGTTATATTAAAGTTTTCCATTGTGATTGTGGTTTTGTTAATTCTCCTTGTAACTCCAGTTAGTTTTTTTGTTTTTGTTTTTGTTTTTAATTTTTTATTGTTATGTTCCTATCTCTTTATTAGTTATTCTTTGCACATATTTTTAATAGCTGCTTTAAAGTCTTTGCTAAATTCGGGGCACCTGGGTGGCTCAGTCATTTGGGCAGCATGCTCTCGATTTCGGCTGGGGTCATTATCTCAGGGTCCTGGGATCGAGCCCCATGTCAGCCTCCACGCTCGGCAGGAAATCCACTTGGGGATTTCTCTCCTTCTCCCTTTGCTCCTCCCCCTGCTCCAGTTTTCTCTCCCACTCTTTCTCTCTTAAATAAATAAATAAATCTTTATTTTTTTAAATGTTTTAATTTTTTAAAGATTTTATTTATTTATTTGACAGAGAGAGACACAGCGAGAGAGGGAACACAAGTGGGGGATTGGGAGAGGGAGAAGCAGGCTTCCTGCCGAGCAGGGAGCCCCGTGAGGGGCTCGATCCCAGAACCCTGGGATCATGACCTGAGCTGAAGGCAGACGCTTAACAACTGAGCCACCCAGGCGCCCCAATAAATAAATCTTAAAAAAAATATATTGCCATCAGTTGTTCACCTCTGTTCTTTTTATGTGCTGTTGCTATGGCTACAATGACCAGGACTTTTATAATAATGAATAATGGATCAAAACTATGCCGGTTTCCCACTCTTGTTACCAATCCAGCACTCGTTTCTAAGTCCTCATTTTTTTATTTTTTTAAAGATTTTTTTATGTATTCATTTGAGACAGAGAGATACAGAGAGAGAGTATGAACAGGCTCCCTGCTGAGCCAGGAGCTCCACGCGGGGCTCTATCCCAGGACCCTGGGATCATGACCTGAGCTGAAGGCAGACGTTTAACCATCTGAGCCACCCAGGCGCCCCTCTAAGTCATCATTTTTAACAAAAACAATACCAGATCTAAAATCTCAAAAACAGGGCGCCTGGGTGGCTCAGTTGGTTAAGCAACTGCCTTCGGCTCAGGTCATGATCCTGGAGTCCCTGGATCGAGTCCCGCATTGGGCTCCCTGCTCGGCGGGGAGTCTGCTTCTCTCTCTGACCCTAACCCCTCTCATGTACTCTCTCTCATTTTCGCTCTCTCAAATAAATAAATAAATCTTAAAAAAAAAAAATCTCAAAAACATAACAATGGACAGAAAAAGCAAGTTACAGAAGGAAACAACAGTATAATTCCATTTATATAGAGTTTAAAAATATGCAAAACAATACTGTATGTTGTTTTTTAATAAAACTTATGTTGTAAAAGCATAAACACACCCAAGGGGATGATAAACTCCCAATCCATATTGAGAATGGTTACTTCTAGAGGGAGAGAAATAAGATCAGGGAGGAGGGGACTAATACAACTGTATTTCTTAAACTTAGTGGTGAGTATCTGGATGTTTGCTATATCATTCTACAAACTGTATTTATAAAAGATTTAATGAAAACAAACGAACAAAAGTTAAATACCAGACATATTGTTTTAAGGAGGCCATGAGAGTTACATTTCAAAGAAAAAGATCAAGTTGGCTTTTGGAGCTCAAGCATCTAAATAAAACAGATTTTTTACCCCACTCAATGTCTTATCTGAGGAGACTGGAGACTTTACTTTTGTGTGGTTAATTTTCAAAGACCTTTTTTTTTCTTAACCCTTTTTAGATAAACACTAAGCCTTCACACAATGAAGCCTTACATTGGAGGATAAGTTGAGGGGTCTTCTAGTGTCAGGAAAAATTGTGAAAGACTTTGAAAGACTGGGTGAAAAAGATTACTAGGTGCCCAGTCTAGCAGATTATCTTCACTTTTCATTGTCTTTGAGCTATTTTACAACTCTGAGTTACAAAATACTGATACCAGTAAAGATGATTCTTGACCCTAAAAATGCAAATGCAAAGCATTCCTGGAATACAACTGATCTCTCTCCTCCTCACCCAAGAAACCAGTGTTGTATCTATGAAGCAAATTAATTTCAGCATTGCTGATTGTCTATACATTGTCTGCTCTTTGGAATATCTTTTGAATCAGTTGTAATATCTTATGGTTCTCTCATTAATTAATGCATTTAATCAAATCTTAGACACCTGTTAATTTTATATTTCTATGAGTCATGATTTTACATTTAAAAAATAATTATCCTTTGGGCGCCTGGGTGGCTCAGGTGGTTGAGCAACTGCCTTTGGCTCAGGTCATGATCCTGGAGTCCCGGGATCGAGTCCCACATCGGGCTCCCTGCTCAACGGGGAGTCTCCTTCTCCCTCTGATCCTCCCCCCTCTCATGCTCTCTCTCTCTCATTCTCTCTCTCAAATAAATAAGTAAAATCTTAAAAAAAAATAAAATAAAATAAAACAAAACAAAATTATCCTTTAACTGGAGGGAAGAAGGCTCTTTCACCTCATTTCTGCCAAACCACATCAATTGCACAATACCTGAGGCAGCTCCTTCCTGGCTGGAGATGCCTGCGCCTCGGGTTACTTAATCCTATTATTTTTCTCTTGCTCCTTTCTTTTTTCTCCTCTATGTTAGGGACTTTTTAAAGAATCTATTGGGATGTCTGGGTGGCGTAGTCAGTTAAGCCACCGACTCTTGATTCCAGCTCAGGTCATGATCTCAGAGTCCTGGAAGCAAGCCCCGGGTCAGGCTCTGCATGCTCAGCGCAGGGTCTGCTTGGGATTCTCTCCCTCTCCCTCTGCCCCTCCCGCTCATGCTCCCTCTCTCTCTCTCTCTCTAAGAGAAATAAATCTTAAAAAAAATTTTTTTAATCTATTTTTAAACCTTGATTCCTTGCTCCCTTGCCAACTGGAAATAACAAATTTCCTTTACTAAGCTGGCAATAGATAAGGTTTTCTCCATCATTAAGACCATTATTTACAACTACTATATGACATAAAAAATTGCCGTAGTTATAGCAGGTTTAAATCAGACTCATTTCCCAGCTTCCTTCTCCCCAACCTCCTTCCTCCCAAACTTCACATTTGCTTTTAACATTGTAAACACACTCTATATACTTGTTAAATTAATTAACAAGTAAATGGATGTCCACGGTGTGCTTAACACTACTTAGGTGTTACGTGGCATATCACATGCAAGTTCAAGTCCCTGACCCACGGAAATTTACAATCCAGTTGGGAAGGCAGGGAAGCGCCAGTATATGCCGTATATGATAAGTGCCAAATGGAGTGAGATTGGCAATAAAGGCTTCATTCATTCATCCATTGAGCAAATAATTCTTTCTTACCCGTTACATGCAGGTGCTGTGGTATGCAATGGTGAAAAAGACTGGCACAGACTCTCCCTTCACCAAGCTCCTTCTAGAAGGGACTAGAACGAGGAACCAGCTACGTCCAATACTGCATTGCCGGGGCTACGATGGGGAAGTGCACGATGCTGTGGCAGCACACGGGAGGAAAACTAATCCCAGACGTGGGAGGTTTGGAAAGCTCTTTAAACTGAAATTGGAAAGATCTGAGGCCAAATTAGGCCAGGAGTGGGCGGGGGGCAGAATGGGGTGTGGATGGGAATCAATCCAAACTGTGGGAATACGACGTATTAAAGTCTGGTGGTAAGAGACAGCAAAGCGTATTCAGGGAACTTAAAGAAGTTTAGTACGGCTAAGGCAACGAGTTTGAGGGGAGAGCATGGAAAGGAATGAGGTAGGAGAAGCCGAAAGGGACCATCGGATTACATGGAGCCTTGTGAGCTGTGTTAAGGAATTTCAGTTTTATCCTAAGAACAATGGAGGAACTATTACAGATTTGTTGTTGTTGTTGTTGTTGTTTTAATTTATTTATTTATTTGAGAGAGAGAGAGTGAGAGACAGAGAGCATGAGAGGGGGGAGGGTCAGAGGGAGAATCAGACTCCCCGCCGAGCAGGGAGCCCGATGCGGGACTCGATCCCGGGACTCCAGGATCATGACCTGAGCCGAAGGCAGTCGCCTAACCAACTGAGCCACCCAGGTGCCCAGATTTGTTGTTTTGTTTTAAAGATTTGGACCTGATTGTATTTGCATTTTTTTTTTAAGATTTTATTTATTTATTTGACAGAGAGACACAGCGAGAGAGGGAACACAAGCAGGGGGAGTGGGAGAGGGAGAAGCAGGCTTCCCGCAGAGCAGGGAGCCCGATGTGGGACTCGATCCCAGGACCTGAGCTGAAGGCAGTCGCTTAACCAACTAAGCCACCCAGGCGCCCTGTATTTGCATTTTTTAAAAGAGTTTATTTATTTATTTGAGAAAGAGAGTAAGCAAGGGAAGGAGCAGAGGGAGAGAGACAAGCAGACTCTGTGCTGAGCCCAGGACACGGGGCTTGATCTCAGGACCCTGAGATCACAACCTGAGCTGAAACCAAGAGTTGGACACTTAAACAACTGAGCCACCCAGGCGCCCCTATACTTGCATTTTAAAGGGGTCAGCCCTGGCTGGAATTAGGAGAATGGATTTTTTTTTTTTAAAGATTTTATTTATTTATTTGACAGAGAGAGAGAGCGTATGCACAAGCAGGGGAAGTGGCAGGCAGAGGGAGGAAACAGGCTCCCTGCTGCGCAAGGAGCCCGATGTGGGACTCCATCCCAGGACCCTGGGATCATGACCTGAGCCAAAGGCAGACACTTAACCAACTGAGCCAACCAGGCATCCTAGGAGAATGGATTTCAAATGGTGGGGACTGGAGGCAGGGAGTCTAAGCAAAAGATAATGGTGCCCTAAATAAAGGTAATGGTTCTGGAAATGGGAAGAAAAGCACAGACCATGGGATGTTTAGGAGTTAGAATCAACAGGACTTGATAAAAGATTGAAGTGGACATAGCCAACAGGTAGAGATATACAGGTCTATCTGGATTTCAGACAGACAACTCAACTAGAGATAGAGTGGACAGTCAGGATTCCTAGGACAAGATTGCTCAGAAAGAGTAATAGAAATATAGGGAGAAAGCCCACTACAGAGTCCTGTAAAGGATTGCAAGAGTCTGCGAAGAAGCAGAGAGGTGGAAGGAAAACCAAGAAAACAAAATGTCACGAAGGTCAAGGGAAGAGAGAGCCTCAAAAATAAGGACAAAGTCAACAGTGTCCAAGGCTGCAGAAAGACCAAGTACGTGAAAACTGAGCGGTGACTTCCAGATCTGACGGGTCTGAAGCAGAATATGTCACCCCCAAATATGACTGTAGGAGTTCAGGACATGCCGCTGCAAAATAGGCTCCTTTGGTTTATGGGTTATTGTGAGCTGTAGGCACTTGAAAAACAGCAAATGCAGAGAGGGGTTTTCTCTGAACTCCCCTGTATGCCTAAAGACAGATCCTCTGAAAGGAACTCACTTGTCATAGATACCCTCCCCTGGAGTTTCATTAACCAAGGAAGACTGGCATTTATCATAGGAGAGGAGACTAGAAGTCGACACCACACCCAGACAAACTTTGTCACAAACCATCATACCTCCCATCTGTTTGTCTAAGGGCCCATTCATCTTCCCTAGAGACCTACAACCCTTCTCTCCTTTCCCTATTAAGATGGTCTTCAATCCTGAGTTCTAAACCATCTTGGGGAGTTCCTCATTTTTCCTGGGTATCTCCCATGTGTACATGAGGTATGTATGATAATACACTTCTGTTTGGTTTTCTCTTGTTGATCTTATTATAGGCATCTCAGCTAAGAACTAGAAGAGTAGAGGGAAAATTAATGTTCTTCCTTTACTGATCATTTAGCCACAGGGACCTCACTGGTGATCTTGGTGAGAGTATTTCAGTGGCATGTGAATCGTGTTTGCAGTAATGGAGTAAACTGATGGTACTATTTTTTGACACTTGTTTTGTAATTACCAGAAAAAATATCTCTGTGGCCTCTCTATCCTATATAAGTGTATTGTTGCCCCATTTAACAATTATTTACATGTCTTTCTTACTACTAGACTTGAGCATCTTGAACCTAGGAATTGTTACTCAGGTTGATAATCCCAGGGGCTAGCACAGTCTTTGATATATATAAAGAGTGTAATTGATATTTATGATTGGATAAAGAGTCTAGGGGCTGTCTTCCAAATCCAAGTTGTCTGCAATCTCTCAGCCAAACCTCTAAGCTCTGTGGTCAGAGTCTGAAACTTTAGGTAAGCAATCGAGGGCAGGAGCTGAAACCAGGAATCCAGTATCTGCATCCTCCCTGCAACTTCTCGTTCATCCCGGGCCAGTCACAGAGCCTCTTGACTTAATTTTCTCATCCACGAAGTGACCACCTTTATATTCACTATCAGAGGCACCGAGAACCTTAATTAACATTTAGGAAAGAATTTGTAATCCTTATAACATGAGACCCATCTAATTGAAAGCCCATATCATTATCATGGCCCATTTCGTTTTATCTGGATTTTTTTTTAACTGGATTGGTTTTACATTTCAACATGAATTAGTATGCAGTGCTACTGTTAAATTGAGTGTTGAATTTCACTCCCCAGAGAGTTTTCTTCCTCAGTAATGGAAAAATGAAGCATACATTATTGTGGTAATAACACCCTCACTGTGATCTTGTCATTTTCACAAGAATCTTAAAACAGGAGTTCAGCTGAATTATTGCTTAGAAGAGAGACCTTCAGAGAAAAGACATATGCTTTATGAACAACCTTAACTGCTCTTGCTTGCATAATCTTTTTCCCTTTTCTATTTCCACACTCAATTTGTGAGAAGCCAGGAGAAGATGAGGCCCAGCATCAGAGAGCCTCAAACACTTCTTTTAAATAGTTCTCATTTCTCCCCCCACCTGTGCCGCAGATCCTATAAGGCTCCTCTTGGGGACCTTCCAGTACTCCAGAAAGGACTTCCTAATACTTGGTCCCGGCTATTCCTCCTAGCTCGCTGGCCCCAAAGAATAGTGGGCAAAGGCTTTTGCCCTAATAGCTGCGGGTCCACACATCAGCACCCGCTCTCTGCAGCACCAGGACAAGATGCTAGGTGCTGCCCCAAACGCTCTGCTTCAGTGTTTCTCATGGCAAGAGATGGTTTCCTAAAAGATGTAAAGATGGAGAGATTATAGGGAAGTAAAAATAGTTGAAGACTGTGCTCAAGTTTTCACGTAGTATCTTTCTCTTTAGAAAGGTGCACATAATTATTCACAAGGGAAAAGGACCTGGCAGCAGGAGATGCTCACTACACCCAGGTGAGTAGCTCATGTCACGCAAGCAGCAAACTCGAGTTTTCAATCAGTTATCAGTTTACAACTACAGCCTACATTTTTCCTGATACCACTAATAAACCTCCCTCCTCTAGCTGATTTCAGCATTTCATCAGCCTGAGCGCAAAATCAGGAAGCCAGCAATACACGAATGTCTTCTGACAGCACAATGCCAGAGAGCAGATGTGCTGGGCTGTGTGGCAGGTAGAGGGCATACCTAGGGAAGGGCAGGGGGAAGGGGGTATGTGAATAAAATCGGGAGTGAAATAACACGAAAGGAGTGTCAAGTGCAACTAGTCTGAAACACAAGTGCAACCAAATCCTTGGCAACAGTATGAAATTACTCTCAGGGAGAATATTCAATTAAGCCAGTATTTTCAGACTCCAGTTGGAAAAGGATTGCCAAGCAGCAGAGTACTGAACATCATCCCAAGCAGCAGCTAGATGACAGATACATAGTAAAAGTGGATAGGTGAACATGTATATAAAGATGTAAGCATTTTTGTGTGTTGGAAATTATAGTATTCTGAGTAAATTAGTAAGAATTTTATATTTTAGGGACGCCCGGCTGGCTTATATGGAAGAGTGTGCAACTCTTGATCTTGGGGTCGTGAGAGATTGCTTAAATAAGTAAATAAATAAACTAAAAAAAAAAAAAAAAAAGAATAATTTAAGTCTCAGCCAGAAGAAACTAAGTAGCTCCTTAAGTGTCAACAGATGATGTAGCCATGCCATATTACTCTCCAGGCTCTGTGCTGCACGCGGTGCTAGACTTGCTGAGGTTGCTATCTGAGACACCCACGTACACAGTCTCCATATATCACATATGTATGCAAATATAGTGCATCATCTCTTACTGTAAACAGCATAGCGTCCAGCTCATTGCATGTTGGCATCACCGGAACACCTGAAAGCTTGCTGCCTTTTTTCCTGGAGTCTTCCTGGGCTGACTTTAATTCTGCACCTTTAGGTAAGGTCTGCCTAGACTTGTCTTAAATCCAGCTGCTTTGGTGGTTCCAGGGCTTGGCCTAGGTGGGTCAGGTATCCACTGGTATGAGATCCACTGAGACGGTTTTTTCCCTTTAATTCATCTTTTTTCTCTATGCTTCTGTCACATATAATCTGCAAATGCATTTCATTTAGCAGGTCTCGCTTCGGTCACTGAGTGGCTGTATTTTCTTTGCGGGGAGGAATAAAAACCCAAGTGATCAGCAGGTCTCAGGGCAGGGTGGTCACCGAGGCAGGAAGGCTTGCCATGCCGGCAGAAGTCTGGACTACCGCTGTGGGCAACAAGATGCATCATGTCCTCAACAGCGTGTCTATCTCTCGGCCCCTCAGGGTATCCAGAAGTTTCCTGTGGACTGAAGGCCTCACGCTGGAGCCACTCCCTCCCCACATCGCCTCAGCACAACTGGGAGAAGCAGGCTGGGCAAGGGGGCAAGGCAGAGAGTGTGGTGACAGCCAAGGGGGATACTGGCTTCCGGCTCTAGCTGCTGTTCCCACAAAGCGTCCTCATCCAGACACAAAGAAAGAGCCACCACGGCTCCAGGTGCCTGGACAGTATGTATTTTAAGAGATTAATTTATGGGATTTTTTTTTCCCTCTGTCTCCCTGTATATTCTCTTCCCATCAAGCAGGGAGCTTTTATGCTTTACTGCTACAGAGAAAGTATATGAAATGGCAGAAAGCAGAGACTTTGGTTTCTCATTTACCAAGGACTTAGAAGAATGCAGATTTGTGGTAGAAGCAAAATGAAGAGAAAAGAAAAAGGTTCAAGAGTTTTACAGTGGAATGTCTTTAAGAAGGTTGAAAGGAACAGACCCCCTTCAGTCTTGGCTTCCTGGCAAGGCCCCAGAGATGTGACAAAACTCCAGAGAAGAAAAGCACTGGGGCCCTCAGCCTGGCAAACAAATCCCATGTCCCAAGTGAGTCACGGAAACAATGACCCAGTGCCAGCAGGGCGCCACCAACTCGGAATTGGGGAAGATTGCAAAACCTTCACCAGGTCCCCGAGGGGAAACACCAGGCATGACTGTCTGTCAGAATGGGGCTCCGAGGCAGAAACTCAATTGATGTGGAAAACAAAGAAAATGCTGTGCTGCGAGTCGGACTTTGTAGACCGAGAATCGTCTTCTCTGCACATTCATTGGGAGAATTGTGGAGGGATTTTACCGTGTCGCTGGAGCTACATTTTCCAGAACTCCCTCCCCAGTGTTGTACACACTGGGCTTGGCCACAAGAGAAAGATCCCGTGAGATTTGGAAGGCAGAAGCGAAGTGGCAGCCCTGAGGCTCTGGAGGTCGTTTAGGGCCCTGGGTGCCGCTGCCCACCTCCGATGTCACCTGGCGGGTCGCGGGCAGCCACTGGGCCCACAGATCCTCCAGGTCCACTGGCGCTTCCCAGGGTGCCTCCCAAATAAGTAACTCACACTCAAATCATCCCTGGCTGGCCTCTGACAAAACACAACCTGAAACAGACCTCACCAGGTGGAGGAATGGACTGAGCCTGATAAGTTTCTTTTTTCTGTTTTTTTAAATAAAGATTTTATTTATTTATTTATTTGACAGAGAGAGAGAGAGAGAGAGGAAGAGAGAGAGAGAGAAAGCACAAGCAGGGGGAGCTACAGGCAGAGGGAGAAGCAGGCTCCCCGCTGAGCAAGGAGCCCAATGCAAATGCTTAACCTTAACGACTGAGCCACCCAGGCTGAACCTGGTAAGTGTTGATGTAAAGATGTGCCCTAAGGGGCACCTGGGTGGCTCAGTCATTGGGCGTCTGCCTTCGGCTCTGGTCATGATCCCAGGGTCCTGGGATTGAGTCCCGCATCGGGCTCCCTGCTCAGCAGGAAGCCTGCTTCTCCCTCTCCCACTCCCCCTGCTTGTGTTCCTGCTCTCGCTATCTCTCTCTCTGTCAAACAGATAAATAAAAATCTTTAAAAAAAAAAAAAGATGTGCCTAAGTTTTCAAAAACCACATCTCCGTGGCTACAGAGGAGATGCTCTAATCACTGCTCCAGCCAGGGGGCCGCCAGAGCAGCTGTCAGTCACGCCTGCTGGGAAGTCCAGGGGTTCCCCAGGGTCCCAGGTTTTCAATGCTTTTATGTCCTGCACAGCTATACCAGTGGAATACGTGTTGTTTGTGCATAGGATGCTGCTGGTGCAGATACAGAAGCACGTGAGTGTGACCCAGATAACTCACACGCCCCCATTTCCTTCCTTAAGGCCTAACTTAGCACTACATCCTGGTCAAAAGAAACACAAGTCTGGGGGGGGGGGATGGAGTAACCGGGGGATGGGTATTAAGGAGGGCACGTGTTGGGATGAGCATTGGGTGTTATAAGCAACTATTGAATCGTTGAACACTACATCAAAAACTGATGATGTACTCTATGTTGGCTAATTGAACATAATAAAACATGTAAAAAAAAAAAAAAAAGAAAGAAAAAAGAAACACAGGTCTGACTCCAGGCAGCCTTGAAAGTCACTATGCCTTTAGCAAAAAATATCTCCCAGAGAGGTCAGTTGAGGAAGGAATAATACTATATTACAGACGCTGCAAGTTCACCAGCCTCCAGAGTTCCACCCATAAGGCAGTTTCCTAAATCTTCAGTTTTCCAAAGGCTCCAGGCTGCAGGGGGCTCTCCCCCTCCCCCACCCCACCCCCCACCCCCGCGCCCCAGCATGCACCAGCCCACTGGCCATGTCACACAAACCAAGAGGTCACCTCAAAGAGGTCGGGATGAGTGAACGGGTAGGGTTGGGGGTGGGGAAGACAGCCTGACTATACTTCAAAAATTTTTGTCCGGGTCACATGTGAAAATAAACTGTTTAAATTGACCATAATTCCGGATCCACCGCGCCCTCCCCACCAGAGAGTCAGGCCTCCTCTCAGCAAGAATTAGCACAGAGTAACACTACATCTACAACCCAATTTACCTCTCCCTTCCACTGGAAGCTAGTCTCAAGTTCAAGTAAGTATTGCAGAAAGGGTTGCTAATGGCCTCCAAGCCCATTGGCCATGTGGTTTATGTTACTTCAAGAGCTGATGCAGGTAATGTGACCCACTGTCCCTTGGCACCACGCACACCTCTCTGTCTGCCCCGGCCCCATCAGGCTCACAGTTCTCAGGTAGCATTTACTCTTGTCCAGACAGTAAAATCCAGGCAGGTACAAAGGGTTTTAGAAATTGGCCGACCTCTGCGTCCTTTCCTATTTTGTTCTTTTCGGCACCGCTGTATGAAGTAGAAGTTTATGTGGTTGAGACAGTGCCAAGACTCCATTTTCTCTGTTAATGGCAAGAGAGAAGGAGAAAACACAAAAAACAGGCTCCATTTGCACGGAGCTAACATCATCATTCTCACTGGGGCTCATTTGCTTCCTGGGCAGCTTGCCTCTGGAGAGGAGAGAAGGGCTGGTGGTGGTGGAGCCAGGAACTCCAAGTTGGGTTAGAAAGGGTAGCCAATGCCCATGAAGGCTGAGCAAATTCCCTGAGGCACCCAAGCAGTAGGCAAAGGAATTCAGAGGTGGCAAACCCTTGCTGCTTCTGTCCCTCCCACCTAGAAAAATGCAGGCGACAAGCCATAGAATGGGAAAAGATCTTTTCAACTAGCAAAGCCCTAATATCCAAAATATATACATATTCCAGTATATGAATAAGAAAAAACGGGCGGGTGCCTGGGTGGCTCAGTTGGTTAAGGGTCTGATTCTTGATCTCAGCTCAGGTCTGGATCTCAGGGTCATGAATTCGAGCCCCGTATTGGACTCCACTATGAGAGTGGAGCCTACTTAAAAAAAAAAGATAACCCAGTAGAAAAAAATGGGCAAAAGACTTAAATAGACATTTCACAAAGATAAAAAATATATACAAAGATGCTCAACTTCATTAATTATTAGGATAATGTAAATAATAATGAGGTAACTTTACGCATCTCATAAAAGCAGTAAAGTTTAAAAATCCAACAATATCAAATGATAGTGAGCATGTAAAACAATGGGAACACTACATCACATCCTTCCAGGGAGAGGATAAACTGGTTCAACCACTTTGGAAAACTGTTTGGCGGTATCTAGTAGCGATGCTATGAATATCCCCCTGATGCTATGCACAGAGCCTTCTGCCACCTTCCCAAACCCGAGCCCCCTTCTTTCAGGTCTCCTAGAACCTGGTCTGGATTAGCTATGCAAAGAAATGAGGTCTAGTTTGAGGGACTGGCTTCCCTGCCCTCCCTTCCTTCTTTCCCTCCTTCCTTTTAGTTTTTTCAAAAAAGTGAGATAAAACATATATCCATAAAATACATAAAACGTATTTGTAGAGTTTAACAAATAATTGCAAAGCCACCGTCTGTGTAACCAACACCCAGATCAAAAGTAGCAAGTATCAGCATCCAAGAAGCCTCCTGTGGGTCCCCTGAGTCATCACAACCCTCTCCCTCCTCATTAGAATTAACTACTATTATCCTGTCATTCAGAATATTAATTTTCTTTGTATTCTCTGTACTTTTACCCCCTATCTGAACTTCACGTGTAGGGGTTCCTATTGAATACATTCTTCTGTGTCAACATTATTTCCCTCAACACTATGTTTGTGAGATTCAAACAAGTCACTGGCCCTCGTGACAGGTCACTCCTTTTCATCACTGCATTGTATTCCATTGGATGAAGACACCACAATGCGTCTTTCTCTCCTCTTCTTGATGGATAGGGTTGTTTCCAGTTTGAGTCTATTACGAACAATGCTGCCAAGAACATTCTTGCACGTAAATCCTGGTATATGTGTGCAAGAGCTTTTCTAGGGCGATGACCTAGCATGGCTTCCTTTTAATCCAGGCTTAGAGCATTCCTGTTTTTCCCCTCTCTCCTCGTTCAAAACTAGCTCTCAGGAAAGACCACAAATTCCCTCATGCTAAGGTAGGAAAATGGCTGAGAACTTCTATGTAGCCTCTCCCATATCATTGTGAACTGACATCAAATGAAGTAATTTCTAACTGTAGAATTTTAGGTATCTGGAAGCTGAGGGAGAAACCCATCAGGGTTGGCCCTGGGTAGAAAGGGTCACATAAGCTGTAAGGCCATGAATCAAGAAAACGAAACCCCAGAAAACCGAAACCACAACAAAACAAACAAGAAAAAAAAAATAGCTGAGGTATTACATTTAGGTTTTTTTTTTTTAAATCTTATTTCATGCTTTCAAGAATCTTTTGTGGAAAACAAGGAAAACTATAAAGGCTGTTCTGTGTGAAAGGTCAGAAACCAGGCACAGGAGGTGACGCCTTCTCCAAGGGTCAGTTGGCAGTTAATGGCTAAACTACCTGGAGTGGTAAAAAGGAAATCCTTAAGACCAGACACCCACGCTTGAGGCTGAATTCCATCAACTAGAGAGTCATCTTTTCCAAGCTGGTTTCCTCTGTGAAATTGACATGACGAGAGTACTTATTTCAGGAGATGGTTGTGAAGATAAAGTAAGGAAATGACTGAGCTGCGTTTCACACAGTGCTTGCCCCTGGTAAGTGCTCAAACAGTGTTCGACATGGTTCTGCTGCTTTTTATTATTTGAAGCTCAGGGTGGGCACTCTCTGTGAGGACAGGTAAACAGATGATCTGAGCAGGGTTCACTGACGCCATCCGGGATCCTGGCAGCCTTAAAGCATAAACGCAAGAGAAGAGGGAAAGAAAGCAGCACTGAAGCCAGAGAGAGACATGACGGGAGCGCATCCGCTGTGCAGGAGGAAAGGGCCCAGTTTCCAGAGGTGAGCCGCTGAGGGCCAGCCAGGGGGGTGAGCGGAGTGGGGGCTGGGGTCAGCGCAGCCCAGGGAACGCTGCACTAGGTCCAGCCCCCGGAGAGGTTTGAGCGGGTCTCGCTGGGTCAGGACAGAGAGGTCAGATGGAGTCCAAACATGAATAGCAAGGTATGGGGGGGCGGGGAAAGTGGGTCAGACGAGAGCTGGCAGACAAAGATGTGCACACTCCCAGGGCAGCCAAAAGTCAACAGCTCCTATGCATGCTGATGGCTTCCATCTCAAGCACCAGCGTGTCACACAGCTTTTTTGCCTCGGGATTTCTCCTAGCTTGGAAGCTTGTTCAGTCGGCTTGCAGGCAGCTACAGAGGGAAAGTGTGGTGCATGTGGGTGTGGGGATGCCACCCAGGGGCAACTCTCAACCAATGGAGGATGAAGGTGGATGGATAAATGTCCCAACCTCCCATATTTCAGAGGGGCATTTCTAGGTGGGGTTTTGTTTTTTTTTAATATGGTATTTCAAAGGGTCTTGCCAGTTGTCCACAGTGATAACTAGCTCAATAATGCATCTTTCATTGGCTTTCCCCTCTTCCCTATGACACTCTCCCTTCTTCTTCATTGTCTTCTTGGGATAGCCTCACAAATAAATGATTGTCACCCACGTCCTTACCTCAGTTCTGCTTGAGGAGGAACCCAAACTAAGTTATATTATTATCATCTAACATAAACTTGGGAGCTGAGATTCCAACAAAACGAAACAAAACAAAACAAAAAACCCAACCCCTGCTCAAACCCTTGCTCAAACAGTGTTCAAAAAACATGGTCAAAATGGAAATGAGGAATTAAGAAAATTTCAAAAACGAACAGAGTCAAGATCATAGCCAAAGCTCAATGTGCTGACATAGACTAATCAAATGTGGACAGGCATAGAAATAGAAAAACAAACAAAACAAAAAACAACCCCTGTACAGGTACTAGAAGAAAATGTGAGCAATCTGGAAACACATCCTAGAGGACCTCTCACATAGGACTGACCGTCCATGAGGTTGTGCACTGCGGGGCTGTGGTTATGGGAGTTCAGGCTCCAGGGGCTCACTGGTGGGGGAAGGTTGAGAGAAGCAGTTAGCAAGAAATAATATGTACCAGTTATGTGGATAGCTTGTAAAGCAGTGTTGAATGGAAATAGTAAGAAATAGAATCAGGTCATGGCATGGCATCATTTCCAAAAATATTCCATATATATACTACATACTTTATAAGGAAACATACAAATACTGTCATACCTATCTAACACATCAGAGTGATTATCTATGGTGGGCAGGGGGAATGGGAGCAGGAAAAGGGAGTTTAAAAAAAAAGTGTCTTTCATGGACCAGTGATGAATGTGTGGAGTTCATACTGAGGAGCCAAGGAGTGTGATCAACTCAACTCTTCACCAGAGGTCCAAAATGAGGGGAAAAGAAGGAGGAGGAGGGGGAGGGGGAGGAAATATAGAAAGACACAATTCTAACCTTAGAATAGGGAAGGCCTCTTAAACCAGT